TGCCACAAGCGGGTGGAGCAAGCGATCGATCGCCCTTCCTCCTCCTCCTCTCCTCCTTCCTGCGTCGCCTCCCTGATCAGCCGCAGCTCGTTGCCGGCCGTTGTTGCGCGGCCATGGAGGCGAGCGCCGGGCTGGTGGCCGGGTCGCACAACCGGAACGAGCTGGTGCTGATCCGGGGGCACGAGGAGCCCAAGCCGCTGCGGGCGCTGAGCGGGCAGGTGTGCGAGATATGCGGCGACGAGGTCGGCCGCACCGTCGACGGCGACCTCTTCGTCGCCTGCAACGAGTGCGGCTTCCCGGTGTGCCGCCCCTGCTACGAGTACGAGCGCCGCGAGGGCACCCAGAACTGCCCCCAGTGCAAGACCCGCTACAAGCGCCTCAAGGGTAAAAAAACACACTCACATCACGCTACGCCCTTGATACCGCGATCGCGAGGTTTCCGTTGATTGATCTCTAATGGCGATGGTGGTGGTGGTGGTTTTGTTACAGGGAGCCCGAGGGTGCCCGGGGACGAGGACGAGGAGGACATTGACGACCTGGAGCACGAGTTCAACATCGACGACGAGAAGCAGAAGCAGCTGCAGCAGGATCAGGATGGCATGCAGAACAGCCACATCACCGAGGCGATGCTGCACGGCAAGATGAGCTACGGGAGGGGCCCCGACGACGGCGACGGCAACAGCACCCCGCTCCCGCCGATCATCACCGGCGCTCGCTCCGTCCCGGTACACACAACACACCTCACCCCACTCACACCAAATTCTCTCCCTCTTCTCACCTCAACATGTTCACGAAATGTTCTTTGTAAAAAAAAATTCAGGTGAGCGGGGAGTTCCCGATATCGAACAGCCATGGCCATGGCGAGTTCTCCTCTTCCCTGCACAAGCGCATCCACCCCTACCCGGTGTCTGAGCCAGGTAGTATAACGAATTCACTACACTAATTAATCAATGTTCTTGATGAACACACATTGATCATCTCAATCATCTACCGATGAATTCTGACCAGGGAGTGCAAAGTGGGACGAGAAGAAAGAGGTGAGCTGGAAGGAGAGGATGGACGACTGGAAATCCAAGCAGGGCATCGTCGCCGGCGGCGCCCCCGATCCCGACGACTACGACGCCGACGTCCCACTGTACGCAATCCTCAGCTGAGCAGCTTACACTGATCATGCATGACAACTAGTATATTGATCATGCCTGAACTCTCTGTGGCTTGCAGGAACGACGAGGCGAGGCAGCCGCTGTCGAGGAAGGTGTCGATCGCGTCGAGCAAGGTGAACCCGTACCGGATGGTGATCATCCTCCGTCTCGTGGTGCTCGGCTTCTTCCTCCGGTACCGCATCCTCCACCCGGTGCCCGACGCCATCCCGCTGTGGCTCACCTCCATCATCTGCGAGATCTGGTTCGCCGTGTCGTGGATCCTCGACCAGTTCCCCAAGTGGTACCCGATCGACAGGGAGACCTACCTCGACCGCCTCTCCCTCCGCTACGAGCGCGAGGGGGAGCCGTCGCTGCTGTCGGCGGTGGACCTGTTCGTCAGCACGGTGGATCCGCTCAAGGAGCCGCCGCTGGTCACGGCCAACACCGTGCTGTCCATCCTCGCCGTCGACTACCCCGTCGACAAGGTGTCCTGCTACGTCTCCGACGACGGCGCGTCCATGCTCACGTTCGAGTCGCTGTCGGAGACGGCGGAGTTCGCCCGCAAGTGGGTGCCATTCTGCAAGAAGTTCAGCATCGAGCCCCGCGCCCCGGAGTTCTACTTCTCCCAGAAGGTCGACTACCTCAAGGACAAGGTCCATCCCAACTTCGTCCAGGAGCGCCGCGCCATGAAGGTAATATCGATCGCCATCGTCATTGCTGATTCTGTAGGAGCTTGACGAAGAGCTAACTGTTGTGGGGGCATTGGCATTTGATCGAGCAGAGAGAGTACGAGGAGTTCAAGGTGAGGATCAACGCGCTGGTGGCGAAGGCGCAGAAGGTGCCGGCGGAAGGGTGGATCATGAAGGACGGGACGCCATGGCCGGGGAACAACACCCGCGACCACCCGGGCATGATCCAGGTGTTCCTCGGCCACAGCGGCGGCCACGACACCGAGGGCAACGAGCTCCCCCGCCTCGTCTACGTCTCCCGTGAGAAGCGCCCCGGCTTCCAGCACCACAAGAAGGCCGGCGCCATGAACGCCCTCGTACGCCACGCCACCACATCCTTCATCTTCAAAACAACACAACTCTGCTCGATTTGATCGAAATTTCTGGTTTGCTTGGCAGATTCGTGTGTCGGCCGTGCTGACGAACGCGCCGTTCATGCTCAACTTGGATTGCGATCACTACATCAACAACAGCAAGGCCATCAGGGAGGCGATGTGCTTCCTCATGGATCCGCAGGTCGGACGGAAGGTTTGCTACGTGCAGTTCCCGCAGAGGTTCGACGGCATCGACGTCCACGACCGATACGCCAACCGCAACACCGTCTTCTTCGACGTGAGCTCTCTCCCACACAAACTAGATGAATATATACAATCTTGAAAAATCCAGAGCAAATCACGATCGATCGAGCAATGTGACTGAAATTTTGTGTGGTGCGTTCTTGGTGAGATCATCAGATCAACATGAAGGGGCTTGATGGGATCCAGGGCCCGGTGTACGTCGGGACAGGGTGCGTGTTCAGGCGGCAGGCGCTGTACGGATACAACCCACCCAAGGGACCCAAGAGGCCCAAGATGGTGACCTGCGACTGCTGCCCTTGCTTCGGGAGGAAGAAGCGGAAGCACGGCAAGGACGGCCTCCCGGAGGCCGTCGCCGCCGACGGCGGTGAGCTCCCAAATTCAGAGCTAAGAAGAAATTATGGTGTGAGAAGATTTTCAGCTGATGGAATAATGTAAGTTTGTGTGTGGTGGATCAGGGATGGACAGCGACAAGGAGATGCTCATGTCGCAGATGAACTTCGAGAAGCGGTTCGGGCAGTCGGCGGCGTTCGTGACGTCGACGCTGATGGAGGAAGGCGGCGTCCCGCCGTCGTCCAGCCCCGCCGCGCTCCTCAAGGAGGCCATCCATGTCATCAGCTGCGGCTACGAGGACAAGACCGACTGGGGTCTCGAGGTAACCACCGTTATCAGACACTAAGCCATATTACCATTGAGTGAGTTTGTGGTGTGAACGCCATGGATGTGTGTGATGCAGCTGGGGTGGATCTACGGGTCGATCACGGAGGACATCCTAACGGGGTTCAAGATGCACTGCCGCGGGTGGAGGTCGGTGTACTGCATGCCGAAGAGGGCGGCGTTCAAGGGGTCAGCGCCGATCAACCTATCTGACCGTCTCAACCAGGTGCTCCGGTGGGCGCTCGGCTCCGTCGAGATCTTCTTCAGCCGGCACAGCCCGCTCCTCTACGGCTACAAGAACGGCAACCTCAAGTGGCTCGAGCGCTTCTCCTACATCAACACCACCATCTACCCCTTCACTTCTCTCCCCCTCCTCGCCTACTGCACCCTACCCGCCGTCTGCCTCCTCACCGGCAAGTTCATCATGCCTCCGGTCAGTCCCATCCCATCCTGCCATCAATTGCTCCTCTTCTTCCATGGATTTTCCCGCCAAAACTGAAGTTTCAAATGTTCTGAACCTTTTCTTGGTGATGCAGATTAGCACGTTTGCGAGTTTGTTCTTCATCGCGCTCTTCATCTCCATCTTCGCGACGGGCATCCTGGAGATGAGGTGGAGCGGGGTGAGCATCGAGGAGTGGTGGAGGAACGAGCAGTTCTGGGTCATCGGCGGCGTGTCGGCGCACCTGTTCGCGGTGGTGCAGGGCCTGCTCAAGGTGCTGGCCGGGATCGACACCAACTTCACCGTCACGTCCAAGGCCACCGGAGACGAGGACGACGAGTTCGCGGAGCTCTACGCCTTCAAGTGGACCACCCTCCTCATCCCGCCCACCACGCTGCTCATCCTCAACATCATCGGCGTCGTCGCCGGCGTCTCCGACGCCATCAACAACGGCTCCGAGGCGTGGGGCCCGCTCTTCGGGAAGCTCTTCTTCGCCTTCTGGGTCATCGTCCACCTCTACCCCTTCCTCAAGGGGCTCATGGGGAGGCAGAACCGGACGCCCACCATTGTTGTCATCTGGTCCGTGCTGCTCGCCTCCATCTTTTCCTTGCTCTGGGTCAGGATTGATCCCTTCACCATCAAGGCCAGGGGCCCTGACGTCAGGCAGTGCGGCATCAACTGCTGAGAGAGGGCGTCAGCGATTTCTGAAGATTTGTGCATAGGGGGGCAGCAAGAAGATCGATTTGTAAAAGTTTTGTATTGCTCGTGTTGAGTTCGTGCTATGTTCTTCTGTAATATTTTGGGACCCAGAAATGGTTTAAACTTTTGAAGAGGGAATGGACAGATGGCCATATTTGAATGTTAAGCAACAAGGGCTGGTATTCTCACTCCATGTTTGTTAGATTTTTTGCAGCTGTGTTCTCATTGCTCCTACTAGGGATATATGGGTAATTTGGACCAAACCATGGGCATTAATGTAGCTTAAAAGTATATGAATCGATTTGGTCAAGGGCTGAAGTAATATTCCTACAAGGAATATATTCAGATTGCAGCACAGGCAGCTTTGCTTTAAACTGACTCAAACAAAACAAATACTAGAATTTTGAGTCTTGCATCTAGGTAAGAAAGTGTTAGGCAAGGCTTAGCCTAGGTGTAAAGCCTAAGTGAAACCAAAAGGATACCAAATCTGAGAGAACATCCTAAGAACGCATACGGCAAATTGGCCATCCCATGAGAATTCAACTCTTATGTTTTAAATTTCAACTACTGCATAAGGTACTTCTGACATTTCAACAAACTGAAATGTGCCCAGCAACAGTGTTGTTTAGAGTAAACTGCAATCCAAAGAAAATATATATTGGTACGAGTGAGATGTCAGCATTCACCCAACGCTTAAGTTGGTCAAGCTGACGAAAAGAGTAGAGCTACAGACCTATATATCTGGCAACAACAGTTGGAGGAGAAGAAAAAGGGAAATACACTTTTTTCATTACTTTTGCCCTTCCATTTCATCTGTGTATTTTCTTTCCAGATGCCAAAAAATACAATCGGAAAGAACATAGCTCTATCATTGTAGAAATACTAACAAATAATTTTAGAGAAACTAAAGAGAGGTAGGTGGGTGTGGGGAACCTGAATGAATTTATTTACACATGAGGAGACCTTTTAAGTAAATCTATCATCTGTACCGCACCATGAGTTGTTAGCTGCACAGCATCACTCCATGATCACCAGGGGATGTTCAACGTTCTTTTGGTCTATTATTTCATCTCTACAAACTCCTTGTATGTTTGCACAATATGTTCATATCGCCAGAGGCTCAACTTGCACTGGTGTACCTGTTCAGAAGGCTGGTCTGGGACTTGCAGATCTTCCCTTAGATTGTCAAATCATATGAGCAATTCCAGGCCTCAGTTGTGTGAGATGCGTCCGCAGGCTGGACTCCTGTACCTGATTAAAAATACAACAGCTCTAGGTAAGGCTTTGTGTATGAACTGTTGCCATCATGGGCAGTTTGCCATCAATTACAGAGAAATTACATTATTTGATATTCAAGGGGGCTCTGTGCTCAGATTTAGGAAAGATTACATGGGATTACATTGGAAGTACCTGTAGTTTTGCTGCCATAGCTAATAATTCTCTGCATTCATCAAGCATGGCCTTTTCTTGTCTTGCTATAACTGAAAGTTCTGATACCAAATATGTCCTGTCCTCAACCTGGTAAGATAATACAGTATGAAACTAAGCCAGGTTTGGGCAGTTTGCTGTAAATTTGTAATTTTAAAACCCTCCCCTTCTTAATAAATTTTGGCTGGCCCAGCGGAAAAAAAAAACTAAGCAACCAATGAAAAGAACTTGATAGAAGATGGAGGGTGTTCTTTATTAGATACTTAAAAATTAAAATCTATTGTATATTCATCCTCAGAAACCAGTGCAGGGTTCCTTCTTTTTTTTTTTTTTGAGTAAAGTGCATTAGCGGTCCTTAAACTTGTAGGGTTATGTCATATAGGTCCCTAAACTCTCAAAATGCATATCCAGGTCACAGAACTTATCAAAGTGTATCACCTAGGTCCCAAATTGACACATCCCCTATAGGATCCTACGTGTCGCTGATGTGGCAATGCCACATGGACGTGACGTGCCTTTTTCTTTTTTTTCTTCTTTTCTTTTTCTTTTTCGTTTTCTTCTCATTCTTCTTTTTTTTTCCTTTCTTCTGCACGGATCACATAGAAAGGAGAAGAAAGGGGAAAAACGAGAAGAAAAAAAAGAAAAAAAATAAATGGGTCCTATTTGTCAGTCAAAATAATGCCACGTCATGTCCGTGTGGCATGCCACATTAACGCCACGTAAAATCATAAAGGGGTTGTGGCGATTTGGGACCTAGATGACACACTATGACAAGTTTTGGGACTTGGATATGCATTTTGAGAGTTTAGGGACCTAGATGACACACCCCTACAAGTTTAAGGACCGCCCCTACACTTTACTCTTTTTTTTTCAGGGAATTAGAGATCTCTAACTGTCACAAAGATGAGTAGATGACTACAGGCGGGCATGGAAGATCACAACCAGAGATAATATTTTCCTTATAAAAGGTAATTCTTGTGCTAAATGTGTACTAAACAATGAGCTAACAAAATCAGCTTCATATGGTTAAAAAAATGATTTCCAAAGACAGATAAAAGTGGACAGTAAAATTTTCAGTTGTATGCGCACTGTTAGCTGACCTTTGGAAGCATACAGCGAACCGCTGATCCCAAACCTTGCATGATATCAACAGCAGAGCTTACGGCATTCTTAAGAGCAACTACATCAGCCTGTTAACACAATAATTAAAACCATTAGCCATAATCACAAAGTAGCAGTTAATAATGAAGAAATTACGAAATTGTTTGCGATTTCAGTAATGCAACATTTTACAGCATACCTTTGCTCCTGATGTAACTGGAAGACGCAATGTGCTTGCTTTTAGAGCTTCAGTTGCGTGGAATAATGAAATACTGTTCTCCTTTTCAAGTGCTGGCCATTGTTCAAGGTAATCAATCTGAATCAAAATAACAGCAGATTAAAAATTTGTTGTATGCATTTGACAATTTATATTTTCTCTTATCATTGTAGATACCGATTACTCTGTGTTGCATACTTAATTTTTGCATATATAATAGCGATGCCTCCCTGATACAACACAATATTTAGACTTTGTGCTTTCTAAGCACATTATTTTGAATTTTCCTGACACTGCTTTGATTGCAAAGAAGAAGATGTTAGTGTTGTCATGTGATCTGCTGGAGTAGATTAAATGTTCTCTCTGCTGTCCAATAGAGGATAAATGATCTCTTGCAAACCCCTACTTTTCAAATCTCACGTCTCACCATCTTTAGAAAACCAAAGTGTGACATAACAAGCTCACAACTATGTCCTTATTGTGCAGTTCAATGTATTTACTTCAACATTGCTAAGTTATCCTAAGTTTATCCTATTTGCATCAGAAGACTCTTTTTACTCTGTAACCAGCCTTTATCTTTCACAGAAGAGACTACATAGCAAATTGTTTATATTTACTTTCACCAGCCGTGCTTCGATTATGAGCATTATAGCAAGTCTGTGCCAACCTGACACAAGTTGGGATTATATCTGAACGCGTGATAACTTGCATTTTAGAACAACCTTGGTAGATTATACAATTATAAAAATCATTAATGAGTGGGAAGAGCTTACCTGCTCTTTAAGAATGCCATGTAGCTTCAACTCTTGTTGTATGCATTGAACCATGATTCTTCTCATATTAACAACATCCCGCAAGTTCGAGGTATTCCTCAAAACATTATATATAATACTCTGTTTTACATGACAACATAGAAAGAACTTTCAACAATTAAAGATCACTAAAAAAATAATGGCAAATATTAAAGGAGAGTACATCTACACACCCAAGAGACTAATGCTAAGAAATAGCAGACCTCAAATTTACAGTGCAAAATCAATTGTCAGTTTTTAAGTCAAACAAATAACCACCAGTAGATCTAGCTGATATTTTACTTAATCACATTTCATAGTCTGGAAGCTTGTTTTAATTGATCATAAAGAAAAGTAATCTCAAAAGCTTATCAGATCAGGAAGCAAATCATTGCATAAACACACTTATGGACCTATGGTTATGTTGGTATCCATCAAAGGAGGACACTGCAAAGGGAACAAGGAAGACTGTGCAATGTGATGCAAACCAAATGCTAACTTTACCTCAGCTGTCACTTTTTGGAAAGACATAGTATCTTCTGCATAAGCATTTACAAAGATCCATTGCAAGTATCTATTATAAGACAGGTGCAATTGGTGGATATTTTCAATTTGGCTGGAGTTCTTCTTTCCTTTTTTTGCATCAACCATGTAGCTAATAATAGGTGACGCAACACCTGATTGAATACTTCCAGCACTTTGTGACCGGCTAGGTGTTGAAGGCCTTGTCCGAGATGGGCTCTGAAAGGACCTAGAAATAGAGGATGTAACTGAAGAGGCCTTGCTTGGCGAAGATGAGCGATGAAGAACAGGAACAGGTAAAGTAACTGCCCTACTTGGACGGCTAACGGATTTACATCTCTCTGTTGACTGTGAATAAGCATGACAGCGAGAGTCTACTTTGTCATCTCTTCCACCTGCATGAATAGCCAATCTCCTTGCTACCTCATCCAATGATTTATTAAACCCTTTGCCTGTGCCTTCAGAAGCAAGCGTCTTCCTTGGTGAAACACCTCTAGAAATATTTGTTGAAGGGACTGATCTGCCAGCTTTGTCAGACATGTCAATACTCCTTGACAAAATATTGCTGGCCACACGGCCACTCTGCATTGCTGGCCAGCGGTGTTGTTCGATTACCCTCCTAGGTTGGTCCTCTGAGGGTTGAGCATTCTCACATTGTTCACCAATGTTCTTCCTTCTCAGAGGACTCCTCTTCCTCTCGGCTATAACACTAGCTTGCCCCTTCGTTTGATCCAAAGATCCACTGGGGACTACCTTATCCTTTTTATTACCGGGGGTAACCACAGATTCTGACTGGAAAGAGGAAGATAGGTTTCGCATTGCTGGCCACAAGCCATCAGTATTCCTTGTGCTTGTTATTCGCCTAGAACTCTTATGTCCCTCTGTAACAGTATTACGAACTGGTGTGACAGACCTTGATGCAGGGGTGGAGGGTGTTGACACTCTAGAAGAAGGAGTTGAGGGCCTTCTTCTGTCTGCTGATTGAGCTCTTTTTGGTTCTGGTGTGCATTCATTTGCGGAGGTCCGCCCAGGACTTGGTGATGTGCATCTCCTTGCTGTGGTGGCAGCAGAATGAGCAGACAGACCATTCTTGTACCTGGAAGCAACATCTCTCCCACGGTTTACTGGAGAAGCATTATGCTTCTCGGATGGAACTAGCGGTGGTCTTAGAGTCTCATTGAGAATACCAGTCTTCTTCACATCACTCTTGAGGACATCCATGAAGAATTGCAACTTCCACAGTAGTAACAACGTCAAGATGACTCATGAAACTTGAACCCCTTGGCAAACTGAGATCTACCAAACATCCAAAGAAGAACACCAAACAATCAGAAGGTTTCGAATACAAAAAGCAATCATCTATTTAACTTGAAGTAAGCAAGAGAAACTTCTCACATATACAAATAAATAAGCAATAAAAAGGTAATGCAGATATCGCAGATGGCTGAATTCAGAAATGAGATGCTGCTATACCAGTTCAAGGACCAAAAATATTTACAGCTATGATTGTTGCTGCAATTCCTCTCACAGGGATATCGAAGGCAGATTGGTGATGGGAAGTGATCTAATAGTGGCTTGGAAGCAAGGGAGGAGGGTGGCATTTATGAATACATTGCACATCCATTACAGAACATAAAAAAAAAGATATTTTGGGTAAAATCACAGCTGCTACATGGGATCATGCAGCATTCGAGAAAGGACGAAGCAAATAAACAAACTGTTTGCGGAGATTCTGATGGTTTTGGAACAGACAGGACAATCCACATGCATGAGATGAGACGAATCTCTTTGCTAGAAAAAAGTTTAATAATTTCTCATCAGAAGCAGCATGGGAAACAGGGACCTTTTTTAATGATTACCACTTATGAACCATGCACATGCATTGAGATTTTGTATGCTCCAATACAGACAAAGAGAAAAAATATAACAGTGGACATAGTGCCAAATAAAATTGGCAGAGTTCACTTGAAGTTGCCGGGAATTTTCTTCGATCAAATCGACTAACCAAACGCAAAAACAATATCACACTCAAAGGCAACAGCATGATGCTTACATTGTTGGGCTCTAAATTAGATAATCCTAGCTAGAAGAATTCACCCAGCAAGAGCAAATCAACCACATATAGCATAGATGGAGGCATATTCCCTGGCTCTTAGGATTCACAACAGGGGATTTGTACGGCTCGATCGCCATAAATTGGTTTAACTAGCACATAATTTAAAAATGCACTGTTTACTACCCCAAGCACCGAAATCACCTATAATAACAGCTCAAAGTACGGAGAAAAAGTAATTTCGCAGTTAAATAAAATTAACTCTCCCTAGATACAGACAACGAACAAGGCAACAAGCCAATAGAAACCATGCCAAGCCAGATTCCTCAGAACTCACGCCGCAACACCCTAGTTCCCCACGGAATCCGCCGCGAGAAACCCAAACCACGCACCAGGATCATCCGAGAACAGCGACGAAGCCAATCCGGACTCGCCGATGCTCCATCCCCGTCAAAACCCACGCGGCGGAGGCGCGGAGCACCATCCAAACATCGTCCTAGCCTACGAGCTCCAAACCCCCTCTTCCTTCCCCCCCTAGCTCAATCGGATTCAATCAAAAACACACCGCAGCTTCTCTCCACGCCAACCAAACCGTAACTACTGCACCAAGTAAACGTGGAACCTCACCTCAGCGATCGCGGCGAGACCCCCAAACTGCTCTCCTCCTCCTCGCCGCAACGCCGCCGGGTCGTGGGATCCCGTGGACAAGCAGCCGGGGAACCCTCGCGGAGTCGCAGCGACTAGTCCACTACTTACCGATTTCTCGGCGGGAGGGGAGAGGAGAGGGGAGGGCAGCGGCGTGGAAGGGGAGATGGAGGAGAAGGACGGTTGCCGCGGGGGCGAGGGCGCAATTAAGGAAGACCAAACGGTTTCCCTAATTGCGCGCTTCTCTTGTTGTTAAGCCATGGAGGACTACTACTAAACCCCACCACCACCCGGGGGGCGGGGGATCCGGTACGTGTACCCCGGGCGTGTACCCCGGCCCCCACCAGTGCGCTGTGCAGTAGGGCGATGAGGGGATTGGAGGAGCTGGGCCTGGCTAGGTGGGGGCTGTGGTCCTGGGCTTTTCCCTCGTGCACACGCAACTTCGTACCCAGAGAGAATTAACACTCCTGTCTCTCTGCGGTTAACTACAGGTTTAGACTGAGTTCGGAGGCACCCTTGCTGTCTGACACGAAAAACAAAACAAAGGATTAGCGCGAGATTAATTCAATATTAGTTTAAAAACTTGAAAAATATATTATGTTTATAATCATATAAACACTATAAATACTTTGAGGGTTATGTTTATGATCCATCGTATATAAATTGTCCAATCTATACTCCATCCATCCCAAAATATAAACATTTTCAACATAGTGTCAAAGTCAAATGTTTTTAACTTTAACTATTAATAGAAAAAATATAAAAAAGATCAATCATATAAAATTGATATTACTAGATTTATCATTAAACAAACTACCATAATATGTAACTTATTTTATTTAAAATATCTTACTTTTATAGATATTGTTGGTAAAAGTAGCATCTCGAAGACGATGACGAAGCCTAAAAATGCTTATATTTTGGGATGGAGGGGTAGCTTGGTTACCGAAATGTGAAACGCATACGAGTATAACAATGCATTTTACATCAATTTTTTAGGATGTTATTGTCGAATCATGGGTACATGAATGAATAGCATGCTAGTACCTCTCTGCAGGGTGCAGACAAACAATATTTATGTTCCATGGGGCAATCGGAATTTTGTAGACTTGTAGTTGGAGGTAGAAATATGGGACCTCATGGTCATAACTGATTTGTTCAACGGAAGCAACAACATAGGAAAAAAGGAGAGCAGGCGAGTTCTTCCCGGATTAGCTCATCTCCTTGGACCAAATTAAAAGTAATTAACACGATTTAACAAAGCCTGGTCAATGATGCCGGTAGGCTTCATTAGCTGACCTAATCTCTAGGGTAGAGACCCCTTTATTTTACGATGACCTTTTCAATCTTTATCATCGCTGGAAGACACTGATGTCTGATATGGAGTAAGCTAGGCGGCTAGTAATAGCATTCAAGAACAGTCCATTCAATGAAGAATCCAAATCAAAGCAAACACCCTCCAGAGTCCAAAATTGATGGCGATCAAACTTTTATAATCCTAAATTCTCTTCATTTTAAAATATAAGGGTATTTTGTTTTTTTAAATAAGGCTTTACTGGCAATTATATGAAAGTATTTTTGAAGACAAGTCTTAAAACATCAATTTTACTTACAAAATTAAGAGAGTAACTTTGAGACATACATATGGTAAGAGGAAACGGTGAGTGCTTCAAGTCAAATGCGGGTTATAGCCCACAATATGCGCAGTTCTCATGATCATGAGACATCGGCTCCACCGTTTGCTTTTTATTTTATCAGCCATTACTAAATTTTAAATTTTAAAACATAATTTAAAAAGTTAATTATGATATTTCTTTTATCGCACATATAAAAGTTATATATAAAAATCATTTTTATTGTTAATAAGTGCTGTATTTTTAGTTAGTTGCAGAATTCTAACTTGGCGAAATATCACTCTATTTCTCTCTTTTTTTATCTTGCCAAAGTCATATCATATTCTGAACATGAGAACATCTATGGGTAACCTGGTATATTAATTTTGAAGTCTGGACAGGCAGTGATTAGTTTTATATGGAACCTGCATGTTTTGATGTTTCTGAACCGAAGACACACATATGCCTGCCTCTGCCTGCCGTTGCTCCGTCAGGCTCTCTATTTCCCGCGCAGGCGCGCACCATACGTACGTGGAGCCATAGAACCGGAGCCGGGGAGGCCGGCCGGGAGGGCCCCATCGTGGTGACCACGTTCGCCGTCTCTCCAACCGCCACGTTTCCCCGCCCCACGCCTCCATCAGTGCGCGCACTCTGGCGCACATGGTGGCCGCGCGCGCCGCCCGATCGCGACACGCCGCACCCTCCCGCGCGCGCACCCGTCCATCACAGAGAGACAACTATTCGTTGCGAAAACATTTCGCCAGTTTGAGATGTGTGTTTGTACGGGAGATTCCCACGTTCCAGTGGCAAACTGGCAATAACTGATCGGGTCACCACTCACCACTGGCTTATGGCGCTGCGCATGCGTGATGCCTCGCCCACTGCTATTTGGAATTCGCTGTCGTTTTCCAGGAGCATGTTTAGATTCATTTGGAATAGCAAATGTTAAATGGTAAATAGCAAAAGTTTTGGTGGTAAAAGTTTTAGCATTACAAAAATACTAGTTGGTGTTTAGATGCATCCTAAACTTTTGCCATTCTAGCACTTTTTGGTGGAGAGAGAGAAAGAGTGAGTGCCCAAAGCACTTTTTGGCATAATTTGCTACTATGGACTAGCAAATGGCAAATAACAAATTGTCAACTTTTGCTACTAGTATTTAAATCCAAAATAGTAAAAAGTGCTTCAGAAAAGCAAAACTTTTGCCATTTTGGAGGATCTAAACAGGCCCTCAGTTTTAGGCTGGCTTTAAAACAAAGCAATTTTTTAAGATAATAGAATATAACATCCCGGCCTTTGCTCAACGAGCTGCAACCAATTATTATAGCCTAACACTCGTAATGAGTGCAATTAATTTAAATAGAATTATAGAAATAAAAGACAAATCATGAAGAACAAACAAACCAAAAACTATCAACCCAAGATAAAGAGTACACAATTATTGAATTCTGTTTGTGAACCTCTATCCTAAATTGGTAAATAATTGCATAATCGTTGTCTCAATATTACGATATACAACCTTTAAAAGCTGGTCATCTTCATCACACCTTTGTAGTTGTGCCAAAGACATGAGCTAATGTGTTGCCTTGAAAATTATCTGCATATATAAAACAAATGGTATTTTATCAAAAATCATATCATTCCTACTCATCCATAAAGTCTAATATATAACATATGCTCTTATAAGTACAAGTTTTCTACTACAAAACAATTGTAGAGGAATTTTTTTAGGATTTAAATTTTATATGATTTTTCCTAAATGGTCCTTTCAAACAAAGATTGGTGTTTTTCATATTCAATGAATTCCTAAGTATTGGCTCAATGCATATAGATCTTGAAGAAATATCGGCAATGGCTCTAATCCCTTAAAAAATTATTTTAGTCTATCTCTCTTTGTTTTTTTGTCTATTAAACGATCGTTCAAGTGTTTTTATTGCGTTTTGCAATTATCTGTTTCACCCATTTTTATTAGATAGAACTAGGGGTGAAGACGGTACGGAAACGGACGGAAATAATCTTTTATCGTTTTCGTTTTCATATATCTTTTCGGAATCGAAATCGGAATCGGAAACCCTGGATACTAAAACAGAATCGAATATTATCGAAACCGAAAACGGAGCGAAAACGAACCGGTGCGAATACGATAACGAAAATTTATCGGAATAAAAAAAACCCCCTTAAACCGATAAACCCAATTCTCAAGTCTCAATGGTCAACAATTCATCGTAAAACACAATCATATAAGTCCAATTGTTAAGTATCAACAGTACATCATAAAACACAATCTATGGAATAAATTAGTAATGCTGTGTTGATAAATCCTAATGCAGGGAAAAAATATTCTTATGTAATTTTAGATTTGTATAACAAATATTTTTTAAAAAAATAACAGCCAAACACCATAGTATTAACTATTTAGTACTTAAAAAAAGAATCCAATGTATTTCGTGATTTCTGGAAATTCCAAGAAAAATTCCGAAAATTCTGAGGAAATTTCCAGAAAGTTTCCGACCGATTCCGAGTTTCGACGGAAACTGCCATTGTCATTTTCGATTCTGTTTCCGAGAAAATATTTCTGAATCCGTTTCCGTTTACGAAAATTTCAACCGACAGATTCCGTTTCCGAAAATAGGTCCGGAATCCGGAAAGTTTCCGTAACGTTTTCACTCCTAGATAAAACTGTATTTTTACTATTTATCTATTTTGTCAATCGTATTAATAAAAAGAAATGAGCCGTAGAGCGTTACGAGGTACACACGCACAGCTTAAGGTACTTGATACTGCTACTACTTTTTGGTCTTTTGGATGGACAATGGAGAATAAATTAGAGCGGAAGCAACGTGCGCGGCACTATGATTACCCCCGTGCCCCTTTAGAAAAACACACCATGCATTCATGCTTAGTAAGCACTGCACCAGCAAAGTTAACACGCAGCAATCAAATTAAGGAGGCAGCCATCATAATTATCGCCGCTCTGGGCTCTGGCCTTAATAACACAACGTGGCAGATGTACGACCCACTGACCCAGAGAGTACGACAGTACGTACGAGCGAAAGCATCACCACATCACGATTCACGGTGATATTCTTTTTCTCTCTCTGTTTATCTATACCATGTTTCCTGATCAGTTGTGATCTCAATTGATTAAGCAGAGGTGAAATGTGATCAGATGCGCTAGGCAGGTCAGTCAGATGCAAGCCACCGGGCATTTCTTCTCGGGGAGAAATTAATCAAAGAAATTAAGCTAAGTATGGTCAAGTTCAAGCGTGTGCATGCGCAGCATGCATGGGTATGACCAGATAACACGCATCTTTAACTTATCCTGCCGATCGATATTTTATCAGCCTTACCATGACCATGTCAAAGCATTGAAACTGTGTTTGGATATACTAGTATTAGAAGAGTAATCATCAGTCGTGCTAGTTTAAGGTATCCAGCTTTCACATTATGGCATGCATGCATACCTATGTTATTTCTTTTAATGCATGGGGATAACCTTGGTATGCTTTAAAAAGATTATCAGCTTATGATAATATGTTATGTTATTATCATGACCATGATATGTTTTACAAAGCTCCCAACTTGTAATATGTTTTCAGTTTTTAGTACAAAGATGCAGTATTGGTTGTAATTAATCCTGTGGAGTGGATCTTTTTTTTTTCCTTTTGAACG